CAATCTTGTGAATCTTGTGTTGCATGCATGCACGACTAAACAAATAAAAATCAATTGTCATTTTATTAGAGAACGAATGTCAAGAAAAGTGTCAAACAAAATTGACCTCGTTCCTTCAAGAGATCAAGTCATAGATGGATTCACCAAGGCATGTCAGTGACACAATTAGGAAACTTTAAGCTCAATCTCAACCTAGATCAGTTGTTACTGAGAGGGGCTATATAGAATAGGAAGTGATTATATGTACCATATCCCTTCTGGTGTAATTTGTGATTGACATGACATGGTAGTTTATCTTGATGTTGTATTAGGTAGTTGAGATGAGATTTGTATCCCTGTCTTGTAAGCTAAGAAAGCCTATCAATTGTCACAGATGGAACTTGATATCTTGTAATCCCACGCATGGGGATCCTCCATGCCTATATAACATGAAGAGCCAGCCGAGAGCAAAGGCACAACTTCCACCCAATTCCAATTCTTCCTTTGAATTTTACAATTTTAGTCCATTTTAGCAAGTTTAAGTGGACCTAATGACCCCAAAGAATTAGAGCTTTGTGTCTCTACTAAACACGCATGCCACGCTTTTACTTGGATCAAGACTCAAACCGTATGACTTATTACACATGAGCGTGCACATGCCAATTCCATATGTGTTGCAGCGTGTGCTTTAATGGAGGACTGGGCATAGGATGCCAACATTAATTTGACTAAGATGCCATTCGATCAATTAATTTAAATTGAATACTTTTAGAGGGGTAATTTAAACTAAATAAAATGCATAGGGGGATCCCCTCATGTTAAGAATCCTTCAACGTACATAAATCATTTTCTTCTCAGAAGAGAAAACAAATGATATATTAAGATCAACTAATTAAGAGTTTGATCTTCCCACCATGATTAAATCCACACTACACTTGTTTGCTTTACACCATCAGATAGACTATTGTGAAATTGTGTGTGCTATTTCTATATACATACTTTAAATTTAAAGAAGGAAGAAGGGGAAAGAAAGCGTAATTATTGGTGGCTTTCACATTATCTGCAACTGGATGGAGAGTATTGATTAAATTTAAATGTGTCAAACCCATGAAAAGAAATAAATATGTTATAGGAAACAGAGAAAAGGTATATAGATGACAGGAGTAATCAAGAGATCATCAAAATATTTTTTTTTTAGATAACGGAACCAAGTTCCAGCCTCTACAGCTAAGAGTTATTACAAACTGAAGCCATAAGGCTCAAACTCTTACGTCCAAGAAAGGAAATAAAAGCGACAGACGCGAACAACAGCAGAAGTTCAGTCCAACATGATATCGACTAAAAGCCTGGAACTAATAGCCACCCGTGTTTCAATGTTTTTAGTTGACTTTGAGTCCTAAATGGAGCTCGAAGTTTCAGATCCTCAGTATCTTTTGTGTCAAAGGTGAAGTGACGATGAAAATTCAAATTCCCAATAGAGAATCTGTCACTACTGGCCCTCTCAAATCAAAGGAGAATCCAAGAATATCCAGCAGTCTCCAAGCTTCCAAAGAGTCCACGTACGTTTATCTATCCTCGTCAACATATTCGATACACAACTGGTTCTCTCATGGTTTGCGCCATGCCGCACACTATAAATATCACACCACTGTGCAGCTTGTACCTTCAAGACACAGCTAGTAGCACTCCAGGCTTCCTATACATACACATATAGAGAAACGTATACCAGCCGTCACACTGCAACTGAAGACTGAAAATGGCCAACGATTCCTTGGTTACAGCTCGTGTCATTGGAGATGTCTTCGACCCCTTCTGCAGCTCCATTGATCTGATGGTGCTGTTCAATGGTATGCCCATTGTTAGTGGCATGGAGCTGCGTTCTCCGACGGTCTCTGAGAGGCCAAGGGTTGAGATCGGAGGAGATGACTATCGTGTTGCTTATACCCTGGTAAGCTCTATCTAGCTGCTCGTCGTCGTCGTCCATGCAGTAGTTGTAGTTTCCTCTGTCCATTCACGCGGTAGTTTTGTGTGCATGCATGTGTGATTAATTAACATACATGGATGCAAATTTGTGTCATTGACTGTAAATTGTGCCGTGTATGTTTATACAGGTGATGGTTGATCCTGATGCTCCAAACCCAAGCAACCCAACCCTGAGGGAGTACCTGCACTGGTGAGGGAGCTAGCAGAGCCCTAGCTTTATAGAAGCTAGCTACGTTCATAGCATATCTACCGTTATTGGCTTGTTGCCCACGTACCTCCGATCCATGCTGCACTTAGAGGTGCATGCAGCACGCGTGTCAATGCGAGTGGGACGACACATAAAACATCATGAGTTGATCGCCGTACATATACATGTTTCGTTATCATTTTGTTTATATGTGCAAGTTGTGCATACATTATCAGATGATATCCTTTTGATCCATTCATGTCCATGCATGCAGGATGGTGACTGACATTCCAGCGTCAACTGATGACACCTACGGTAAGTATATATACGATGCTGTTCTGTGCTAGCTATGCATGTCTCTGTTGTATTGATGGTCAACATCTCAGCGTTTACTTGTTGGCCAGGCCGAGGTAGTATCCATGTACTGCGTTGTTTGGACGTAATCGGATTCACCTCAATCCACATATGGCCTTGTTTGGATGCATGTGTATCCACCTCAATCCACATGTGTTGAGTGAAATGGGATTGAATTTAGTTTAATTCCACTCCAATCCACTTCAACACATGTGGATTGAGATGAATACATGTGCATTCAAATAAGGTATATGTTGAGGGTGGATTTGAGTGGAATTTAGTTCAAGTTCCACTCTTATCCATCCCAACACACGTGGATTGAAGCCAATCCGACTACATCCAAACAAGTCCAATTGTGGGATATTTTCATGTATATATAAAATAAACGTTTTAATAAATATTGTACAATTGCATGCAGGGCGGGAGGTGATGTGCTACGAGGCCCCAAACCCGACGACGGGGATCCACCGGATGGTGCTTGTGGTGTTCCGGCAGCTGGGGCGGGAGACGGTGTACGCGCCGTCAAGGCGCCACAACTTCAGCACGCGCGGCTTCGCCCGCCGCTACAACCTCGGCGCACCCGTCGCGGCCATGTACTTCAACTGCCAGCGCCAGAACGGCTCCGGCGGACGGAGGTTCACCGGGCCCTACACCGGCGGCCGACATGCTGGTGCTTAATTAGCTTGATGACGATGATCGCCGGCCGAGACACGGAGTATAAGTAAGCTTTATTGCACGCACACTTTGCAGTACGTACGTGCGTTGTGCATGCATGCATGGGCCGGGTGACAGCATCACCGTCTACATCTCATAAGACGAGTAGACGACGACGACACTCTTATAAAAATATATATATAAACGAATAAAGTAGGATGCATGCTATACACGCACGTACATCAGTGGCTCCTATATAGCCTACATACTGTAGTGTGATTATCTGTCCTCGATAACATATATATCGGGATGCTTGTGTTTCTTAATTAAAATGCGCATATTGCTTGGTGGTGTGCTGTACCAGCAGATTATAAATATAAATACACACATACATATATATATATATATATATGTATGTAAATGTAGGGTGAGCCTTTTGTATATGCAGGGCAACGATCAGAAACGTCACTACTGGAGACGTCCTCTTTACCGAGGGCTTCTAGCTTTGTCGAGGACTATATCTCGGACACTCGGCAAAGGGGGTCTTTGCCGAGGGCCAGCCCCAGGAGCCCTCGGCAAAGCTAGGCCCTCAGCAAAGAATCCTTTGCCCAGGGCTCGGCCCTCGGCAAACAAACGGCCCTCGGCAAAATAAATCTTTGCCGAGGGCCTATATGGCCGGATGGGTCACGGCGGCCACTGGGGTCAGTCTTTGCCGAGTGCCCGCCGTTAGGCACTCGACAAAGATTTTTTATTTTTTTAAATATTCTTTGCCGAGGGCCAGGCTAGACCCTCGGCAAAGAGTTTTTTTTTGGTTTTTTGAACCCAGTTTTTTTGTGGTGCTATAATACATTATTTAAATCTCAATTTTAAAATTTGGGCCAAATTTGACTTTTTTGATATCTTTCCGTAATGTTATTCATAGTATTTGGTGTATGTTGAGTCCCTATCCACGAACTCGCATCAAATTTCGGGCATCTTCTTCACGTAACATGACGAGGAACTTGTCGGAAAAGTGTTTTTTAAAATTATATAAAATCCATACGAAGTCCGAAAATCATGAAACTTGTCGAGGTGTCATGTTATCGCATGTGTAGGCTGTGGTAAAAATTTGAGAAGGTTTCGAGCAAGTTGTGACGTCGGATGCCTAAAACCCAGACATCTCCACATGTGAGCGGCTTCTTCCGGCGATGGTCCGAGGCTATGTCCCTGAGCATGTTTGGCAAGTGCTGGCAGAGTTGAGCTTTTTCTTTCGTCAGCTTTGTGCCAAGGAGATATCTCGGACCGTCTCTCAGGACTTGGAAAAAGCGGCACCTGTGTTGCTTTGTAAGTTGGAGAAGATCTTTCCACCCGGCTTCTTCTTGCCAATGCAGCATCTGATTGTGCACCTCTCGTCCGAGGCACGTTTGGGGGGCCCGTGCAGGCCCGTTGGTGCTATCCAATCGAGAGATGTCTAAAGACTCTTCGTAAAAAATGTAAAAATAAAGCCAGAATTGAGGCTTCCATTGTAGAGGCATGTCTTCGGGAGGAGATGGCAAACTTCACAATGCAATACTACAAGCCGAACCTTCCTAGCAATCATAATCCACTCCCTCGTTACAATGCTGGCAAAAATGAATACACCACTAAGGTTTGCAGAAGATGTGGTGTAAAGGGTCACTTGATGTTTGAGTGCACTGCGACGGTATTTTGTGAAATTTGTAGAAACTTTGATCATGCCATGAGTCGATGCCCGGTTCTTTAGTAGCCGAAACTAGTAGCCCAGTTGGTCGGTCAAGCGGCAGATGCACTAGTCGGTTTTCTTATTCCACATGCACCAATTCAGCCAACAAAGAGAGAATCAAGAATGGCTCTGATCTTCACTTCTGGTAAAGATTTGTCAGAAGAAGATGTTGCTGTTTTTTTGTGGGTTTTGGTTTCTGACACTTTTGCTTGGGAAGTAAAACAGTACAGTAGCTCTGAGTTCAAGGTGCTTTTTCCTACAAAGGGTGATCTAGCAAAGATGACAAGGTTCAATGCAGAAATGAAAGAAGGCGTGACGACTCTCAAATTTCAAGAATTCAAGGAAGATGAGGAATATTTCGGTCATGCTCTGCCAGTGGTGTGGATGAGAGTCTTAAATCTTCTGACAATTTTAAGGGAGTATTTGGTTTTGTGGACTTTGGGAACTCTTTTTGGAGTTACTCAAGATGTGGACATGGTGACAACTAGAGCGAGTAGCTTTGGAAGGTTTGCAGTGGCAGTACTAGATCTGGAGGCAATTCCAACCAAACTAGATGTCATTATTGGTAATCGATACTTCCAGTTACTTTTCGAAGTTGAACCTTATTTACCAAACATCGGGCTCCGAAGCATTTGGAACACCAAGAATAATGGGAATGAAGATCATGGTAGTGGGGCACCAAAGGACGTTGAGATGGAGGAGGCACAAAATCATGGCAAGGTTATCAACTCAGTGCAAGTGCACAGCAAGTGCGTAGTTAGTAGCAATTCAGAAAAGAAGCAAATAATCCGTAAGTACATATGGATGTTGATCTTGAAGAGTATGATTTATTAGATGAGGAGAATGATCTGAGTGATGTGGTACGTGATTTTGTGGGAGTCAAGAAAGGTCATTCGGTGGATGTGCGAGTAGCAGCTTCTCTGGTACCTTTAGGGTCCTCACTCCAGTAGCGTGTATGCAAAGAACGTTCATCACAGCTTATCAAGGTCGGGTGGCAAGTTGGTCTCGTGGAAATTTATTGAAAGGGAAGGAGAAGGGCAGCAGCAGCCGCCTTTGGCGGGGATACAAAGGCCGACGGTTTGGGGGCTGCTAGTTGGGGTTCGCAAAAATTCATAACTAGCAGCCTTCCACACTAGTTGGAGAATCATTTGAGGCAAGGCAGGTTGATGGGACATCGATGGAGTGCTTGTGGGTGAGGATCAGTACCTTCGGCCATTCTTGAGGCCATGGTAGAGGCCGGAGTGTCGGCGGATGTCAATGTATTGGGAAGTGTTATGATGATGGTGGTGTTGTCTAACGGAGAGCTTACTCCAGGTCTTGCGGTGTAGCAAGCGGAATGCGAGGCGTGGCTGATGTACACTCTCCGGAGAAGGCAAAAAAAGAGTTGCCATAAAAAATCTCGAGGATCCCCAAGGTAATGCTAAGGCGCTTATTAATTCAATTATGTTCTTTTTCTAGTGATCGTATTGAGCAAAATTTAGGAGGGGTGGGGATCACTCTGGGTGGTAGAGAAAACTTAATTGCTGGTTCTATAGCTTTAATTAAAGATGTAGAACAAGAGAGATTGAAACCTTCGTATGTTGGTAATTCAATTGATAAAGAATGTGAATCAGAGGAGGATGAGGTCGATCCTGATACTTCTACCATCGATCGACTCTGTGGTGACTTGACGGAGGAGGTGATGGATGATAGTAATGTGAGCGTTGATGGAGTACTTGTTGACATACCCATCAAGGTGGCAAAAAAATAAAAAGTTTAACAAACTCCTTAAAAGGAAGGCGTCTGCAAAGAAAAATTTGTTCCAATGAAAGGGATCTTCTGGAATTGCAAAGGTCTACGTGACCTGTCTAAACATACCTTTTTACATGATGTGGCCAAAGATAAGAGACTTGATTTTATAGCTTTATCAGAAACCAACAGAAATAGTTTCTCAACTCAGTGTCTGAAAAATTTCTATGCGGGGGTTGATTTTGTTTGGCATTGGCGATGTCCCCGGGGTATGTCTAGGGTGATGCTAATGGGTATAAATCGAGAAAGCTTCAAAGTAGAAAATATTATTAATGGGGATTACTACATAAAATTTGTCTTAAGAAATAAGGTAGATGGTTTTCGATGGGCCCTTTTGTCTGTCTATGGTGCAGCACAGGAAGAGCACAAAGAGAACTTTTTATCAGAGTTAGTACGTGCTTGCACTAGCTGCGGGGATCTACCTTTTATAGTAGGGGGGATTTCAATATAATTAGGAACCCGTCGGAAAAAAATAATTCAAGGTATAATAATAAATGGCCACTTCTCTTTAATGCCATTATCAAAACTCTGAATCTAAGGGAACTAGAAATGACGGGTAGAAAGTTCACTTGGGCTAATTATGCTGATATTCCAACCTATGAGAAGTTAGATCGTATTTTGGTGACAACCGAATGGGAACAAAAATTTCCATTGGCGATCGTCCGTGTTCTCACTTGAGAAATCTCTCGATCACACACCACTCTTACTTGATGAAGGGGAACCATCTCACGTAGGCAACGCTAGGAATTTTAAATTTGAGCTAGGGTGAGCTAGGGTGGTGACAAGGGATGGTTTTTTGATTTGGTAAAAGAGGTGTGGGAGTCTCGAGAATAGGGGTAGAACACCCTTGGAATGGTGGCGATCTAAGATAAGGAGGTCATGACGTTTTCTTAGAGGTTGGGCTCTAAATTTAGTCTCCCAAAACAAGAAACATAAACTAGACCTGATGGATAAAATAGATATCCTCGACAGAAAGGCAAAAACAACTTTGCTATCATCTCAGGAGGTAGAGCTTAGATATCATCTTAAAGGGCAATTAACTAAGTTGCTAAGAGAGGAGGAGATTTATTGGCTCCAACGATCAAAAGCAACAAAGTTGTTGCAGGGAGATGATAATACTAAGTATTTTCATATGGGGTAATTACACTATTACCCAAGATCGCAGATGTGACTAGGATACAACAGTATAGGCCTATTTGTCTCTTAAATGTGTTGTTCAAGGTTTTTACGAAGGTGTTAAATAATAGAATTTTGAAAATGGCAGATAAGTTGATAGGTCCGTCTCAGACGGCTTTTATTGTAGGTAGATATATAATGGAAGGTGTTGTAATACTACATGAAACAATACACGAGCTGCATAGAAAAAAGAAAGATGGAGTGATCCTAAAGCTGGATTTCGAAAAAGCATATGATAATCTTAAGTGGCCTTTTATACAACAAGTCCTCAGAATGAAAGGATTCTCACCGGTTTGGTGTGAATGGATTTCAAAAGTCATGTCTAGAGGGAGTGTTGCAGTAAAGGTCAATGATAATTTAGGTCATTATTTCCAAACAAGAAAAGGAGTGCGGCATGGGGACCCGTCATCTCCAATCTTGTTTAACATAGTGGTTGACATGCTGGCTATACTCATTTCACGAGCAAAAGAGGCCGAACAAATCCATGGAGTGGTTCCGCATTTGGTTGATGAAGGACTCTCAGTCCTTCAGTATGCGGATGACACTGTTATCTTTATGGTCAATGATTTAGAGAGGGCCAAAAACATGAAGCTCTTGCTTTGTGCCTTTGAGCAATTATCGGGACTCAAAATCAATTTCCATAAGAGCGAATTATTTTGTTATGGAGCAGCTAATGCTAATCAATTTGAATATACACAAATTTTTGGATGTAATGTAGGATCATTCCCTTTTAGATACCTAGGAATTCCTATGCATCATTAAAAACTAATGAATAAGGACTGGAAACATGTGGAAGAAAGATTTCAAAAGAGACTGAGTGGTTGGAGGAGTAAGATGCTTTCGGTGGGTGGGAGGCTTGTCCTCATTAACTCGGTTCTAAGTAGTCTTCCTATGTTCATGATGTCCTTCTTTGAAATACCTAGAGGGATTTTGAAAAAATTGGATTATTTTAGATCTCAGTTCTTTTGGCAAAGCGATGAACACAAGAAGAAATATAGATTGACAAAATGGGAAGTAGTATGTACACCAAAAGACCAAGGAGGATTGGGTGTCCTAAATCTAGGTGTCCATAATAAGTGCCTCTTAAGCAAGTGGCTTTTCAAACTGATAAATGGTGATGGTGTCTGGCAACAGTTGCTTAAAAATAAGTATTTAAGGGACAAGACTTTGACTTAGGTTTAATACATGCCTGGGGACTCTCAGTTTTGGGCTGGCCTTATGAAGGTCAAGGGTGAGTTCCTATCGATGGGTAGGTTTGATCTAGGTGACGGATCCCAAGTGTGTTTTTGGGAGGATTCGTGGATAACACCACGCCCTTTCAAGACGCTCTTCCCATCACTATATAACATTGTGAGTAAGAAAAGTGCATCTGTTAGGACGGTACTGTCTACGACACCATTAAATGTAGCTTTCAGGAGATCTCTGGTGGGGGTTAATTTGCAAGCATGGCACAATGTAGTGGCCATGGTTGCAGATGCGCACTTAAGAAACCAAAGGGATCGCTTTGTGTGGGGGCTGCATCAGAAAGGGTTGTTTTCAGTTAATTCCATGTACAGAGCATTATTAGGTGTACAGGCTTTACCTTACAACACTTTAATTTGGAAACTTAAACTACCCCTCAAGATTAAAGTCTTTATGTGGTACTTATACAAAGGCGTAATCTTGACCAATGATAATTTAGCTTGGCGACAGTGGCAAGGAGATAGGAAGTGTTGTTTCTGTTCCACCAATGAGACCATACAACATTTACTCTTTGACTGTCATTATGCTAAATTTATGTGGAGAATTGTTCATATTTCCTTTAACCTAAAACCCCCAACTAGCGTACACAATTTGTTTACAGGTTGGTTGGAAGGGTTAAATAGAAAAAGGAAGTCTCAAATTCTTGTGGGTGCAAGTGCCATTTGCTGGGCTCTTTGGTTAACTCGGAATGATGTTGTGTTTGACAAGGCCATAGAACCGTCTTGTTTGTAGGTTATCTTCAAGGGAATGTATTGTACCAGGTACTGGACCATACTTCAGAAGGAGGAGGATCGCCATTTCATGAAGGCGGGATGTAGGACTATTGAGACGGCCACGATGGAGGTGTTTGCTAGACACGGCTTGCGATTTAGCAATAGAATTGCTCTTTAGTCTTTTCCTTTTGAGAATTTTGTTGTATTCATGGCTCAAAACTTCATGATTGAGATTCCTTGGACTTTGTTTTGCTCGCTTGTAATAATGAATAGCCATATGCATTAGTCGATGCAGAAGCTGGGATATTAATATATTCCCTTTTCTAAAAAAACACTCAGATCTCATTTTTATCTACCCTCGTCATCTATGTCCTCACAGCCGGTGCGCTCACCCACGCCGTTCCGTGCTGGATACGCCGCCTCTCCTGCCTAACGTTGCTGCCCTGCTTCAATGCCTCCCCGTAGCTCTGCGCCAGCCTTGTTAGAAACGGTAGGCAATATAAACGACGAAGAACAGTAGATCAAATATAGGGACATGAGATTTTAATGTGGAAAACCCTCCCAAGGAAGAAGGGGAAAACCACGGGCTCCAGCCAGCAAATCTTCACTATATCGGGTGAGGTTACAAACGTCGGGGATTTATATCTTTTCTCATCCCAAGACGACTGCTTATAGGAAGTCTATATAGAGATGGAAAAACCCTAATAGGCCCAAGCCTCCCGACGACGGGCCTCACTTTGCTCCATCAGAAGTTAGCCTTTATCTTGTACATAACTGAATTTGGATCACAACTCAATAAACTCCACCTTGAGACAAATTCCTTCTTATAGCATAAAATGAACCTTCACCCTGAAACAACAAAGAAATACTTCCGGTGCCAAATAGCCTCTTGGGCTAAACAGTTATACCAACTAAGCTTGAGCAAAGCTCAAACTTAGCAATAGGAACTGGCTTTGTCAATATATCAGCAGGATTATCATGTGTGCTTATCTTGCATATCTTAAGCTTACCTTGCGCGACAACATCGCGAACATAATGGTATTTGACATTAATGTGCTTCGTTCTCTCATGGAACATCTGATCTTTAGAGAGACATATAGCACTTTGACCGTCACAAAACAAATTAATGCAAGAATCATCTCCACAAAGCTCAGCAAACAAACCTTTCAACAAAACCGATTCTTTACATGCTTCAACAATAGCCATGTATTCTGCTTCAGTGGTAGACAGGGCAACAACGGGTTGCAATGTTGCCCTCCAACTCACAACACAACCACCAATAGTGAACACATAACCTGTGAGAGATCTCCTCTTATCCAAATCGATAGCAAAATCTGAATCCACGTAGCCTGTGAGTCCCTTATCAGTCTTGCCAAACTTCAAACAGGCATTTGTTGTGCCACGAAGGTACCTGAAAATCTACTGAACAGCCTTCCAATGTTCTTTACCAAGATTAGCCATGTATCTACTAACCAAACTCATAGCATATGATAAATCAGGATGAGAGCAAACCATGGCATACATCAAAGAACCAACAGCACTAGAATATGAAACTCTTGACATGTACTCAAAATCATCATCCGTACTAGCACATTGTAAAGCTGATAATTTAAAATGAGGAGCAATAGGAGTACTAACAGACTTTGCATCATGCATGTTGAAACGATGAAGAACTTTCTTAATATAACTTTGCTGACTAAGAAATAACAAACTAGAATTTCTGTCTGTTGTAATCTCCATACCTAGAATTTTCTTAGCAGCACCAAGATCCTTCGTCTCAAACTCACTACTCAATAGTTTCTTCAATGTAGTGATTTCTTTCTTTCTCTTG